TCTTATCATTCAACATCAACGTCATCATCAAGCAACATTATTGGTAGTCAACTCTCAGAAACGTTACGTCTTCTTATTGTTTTGTCGAAACTCCTCATGCAAGTTTCAAGCAAACTAAAGTAATCTTCAGTATTTCGTCGAAATCCTTCCCACCACCTACCAATACTCACTGCTATTACGACGTCACTCACTCCGTTTGCATCTAATCTGAGTTCTGTGATCGACATGTATTCTCGGACATCATTTCCTACACGATAACAGACGTTCGATAACTCCTACTAGTGGTCAGTTAAATGCTAGTAAACTTCTGAGTTATTTCCACACCACATGGAGTAAACATGGTGTTATTTGAGGTCAGGATGAGAACTGTTACAATCCTCGCAAATACACCTACTCACTCACTTCTTCAACACACACTTGTTCCTTTCGTCTTCAAGTTGATAACACAGAGACATTCTTCATGTGTGTCAGTAGAAAGACTTACAGATCAGCACACTGAAAACCGTGAAGTTGAAGAATCGTGGTCATTTCGGGACCTACGGTGAACCATCATCTGAGGAGATTCACACAGATTGGTCCCACTCCTCCAAAATATTGGTGCTGTTAGGTAGGTAGGTAGGTAGGGAGGGAGGGAGGGAGGCAGGTAGGTAGGTAGGTAGGTAAAGATATATAGAGCGAGCGAGTGAGCGAGCAAGCAAGCAAGTGACAGAGACTGACAGAAAGTCGGATAATAAACATCTTGAACCACAATGAGCAGGTTCGAAATGCATTTCTCATTCCCAAGATGTTGTCTCAAGACTCCTTTCTATATGTGTGTGCATTGACACTAACGAGCGAATAGCTGAGCATGTTGAGGTGTGCAGCGTTTCAGAAAATCGAATAACCGAGTAAGAGTTGATGGCTAACGCAATCTACAGCCACCTGGTTGCAACTTTCATTAGTCTCATGTATGTGGTGTAATCGACTGTATGTATGAGGAATGTTGATGTTAGGAACAGAAATTGACAGTAGCAGAATGATAACCTTATCATGTGTAGGTACAGGCTCGTGCATACCTGCGCCTCATCGGACACAGGAAACACGAGGTAGTAAAGCCACTGTATGATCGATGGGAAGGTGAGGATGGCAAATACGAATTTAAAGAGTAGTTAACTAAGCATTTATCAGAGCGTGGCAAGAATGCTCATCCTGAGGAAACCGGGCGTGATATTAGGTTTACTGTAGAAACGGTGATAGAAACAGTTGGTAACCTACACATGAAGGTTAACAAACGTCACTGAATTTGCCCAACTCCATTCAAACTGATTGATAGCAGGAAGACTGATTTCAGCTGACTCTGAACAAGATGGAGAGTGAAAGCAACTCAAAAGAAAGTTGACCGAGAGTTGTTGCGAGCAATGGTGGGTGACAAAGTCGAGAGAGATGGAGAAGGCATCAGCGTCGGTTAACACTGGGTGATGATACGCTATAATAGAACACTGAGAAGATCTAGGTACAGAAATCCTAGTGAAGTGTATAGCTTACTACTTCAGCAGTTGGATGCCGTTCATGTAGGAAAGAACCTCCATTCACTCGTTGCTACTTCGAGTGCGAAATTTTTGTAGCACAGATTGCGGGTAAGTTGAACTTGACTTCTTAGAAGTTACGACGGTGGAGATAGTTGTGCTAGATGTGTGTAAAACGCATGCTCAGGCAGTCATCAACTCAGTTTCCAAAAACGCATATTTCATGAATCTGGAATTTAAAGATGATGTAGCATCAGATATTCTTAAACATCGTATTGTGATATCAGTTAGAAGAGGATTCTAAGTATCCATAATTAATTTTACCTCTAATGGCATTTAGTCACTCTCCGTATACGTAAATGCAGTATCCCTCGTCAGATCATCTCCAGGTGTATCTGCCAGTTTTAAAGCTCCTCCGAAGTAAGATAAGATAGCATTTCCGGTATCGATTTAACATTGTAAAGAGAAATACTTTGGAAGCTCTATTCCTAGACACTGGATTGATTCCAACCACTCAACTAAACCAAACAATAATTTCGCGGTTTGATTGTGTAATTCGCTCAAATATTTCATATTTCCTTCGTCTCCAGCAGTCATAAGCAGAAGATACCTCGACAATTCATGAAATAACACCTGAACTTAGTGTGAAGAATAAGTAAGCACTAAATTCAGTATGAAGAAAGAAAGACGATGAAAGCTTCACGATTAAACACCCCAGCTCAGAAAACACAATGCAAACAAGACCATCCACCTGAGCTAAAAACATTCATCACCATTTCAAAATTATACTAGCGTAACACGCTTCACGCTGTTCGAAGATGGGAGTACTTCTGCAAAAGGCAAGCTTCCACATAAGAACAACTATTCTTTACCCATGAGTGCCTACGTCAGCATGTTCTGCCAAGGAGCGCCAGATATAGACCACCGATTAACTGTCCAATGGGATGGAAAATAGCTGAACAAAGTGGAAGATAAATGGTACAACTGATGATCACAGATGCATATCATTGGATACAGAAATATCAGTCAGTGATTAACAATCAAAAGGCAAAACTAGAAAGCACACTTACGACAAAACATACGACAGTGCTGACAACTGCAGTTGAAAACTCAAGCAGACGATACCAACAACAAAGAAAACACGTCCACAGGAAAAAGCTTCTCAAAATCTCAGAAGCACCTACAACCGAAACACAGTCTTTTCATTTACTTTCAGGCAAACTTAAGTTTCTCCACATGTCCCTCGCTTCATTTCACTCCTTCCATGTATCCTCTTCCTTCAGATTATTCTTTGCACTACTTTATCTTCATCATCATCATCATCATCATCATCATCATCATCATCATCATCATCATCATCATCATCATCATCATCATCATCATCATCATCATCATCATCATCATCATCATCATCATCATCATCATCATCATCATCATCATCATCATCATCATCATCATCATCATCATCATCATCATCATCATCATCATCATCATCATCATCATCATCATCATCATCATCATCATCATCATCATCATCATCATCATCATCATCATCATCATCATCATCATCATCATCATCATCATCATCATCATCATCATCATCATCATCATCATCATCATCATCATCATCATCATCATCATCATCATCATCATCATCATCATCATCATCATCATCATCATCATCATCATCATCATCATCATCATCATCATCATCATCATCATCATCATCATCATCATCATCATCATCATCATCATCATCATCATCATCATCATCATCATCATCATCATCATCATCATCATCATCATCATCATCATCATCATCATCATCATCATCATCATCATCATCATCATCATCATCATCATCATCATCATCATCATCATCATCATCATCATCATCATCATCATCATCATCATCATCATCATCATCATCATCATCATCATCATCATCATCATCATCATCATCATCATCATCAGTATTACGTTTACATTTATCGGTTACCCATGTCACTTCATTTAATCTCCCCATTAATTGCAACATCTAACGAGAACACTTTGATTGCATCTCACTCAACTTGTCTCATTCGTATTACCTGATCCTTCGTTTGTTCAACAGCTGTACCATGTTTTCCCTCCTTCGTAATCTATGTGAAGCTGATGAACTAGCTATCTAAACAGTCATGCTCAATCTCTTTGTATTGTCACTAAACGTCACGTGATCCCTTGCAGTGAAATCTATCTGGCTGACGGAGTTATACTTGAAGTGCCTCTCATCGAACTGTGGAGAATATCTCTTTATCGGACACCCTACATACGTGAGATTTCATTGACACCCAGGAATTCAAGCAACGACTCCTAACCTCCTATGTGTAGCTAACATCAGAATGAACTCAGAGGGTAGGAGCCAAGATGGTTAAATGTACATCTAGACTCTCCTACTAAAAAGGACTGCATCAACTAGGTATCTCTCCACTGTCTTATCGTGCGATCACATGTTATCTCATTGTAACGCATATTTTCTTGAACGACGATTTGCCTTCTTAATTGTCTTACTTCTTGCCTCATGAAGTGTTCACCTGAGAGAACGTCATCTAGCAGTCTGTAAATCATAGTCGAGCTGTGCAGGTCTTGACTTGTGCATCACTGAAATCCCACCATGTGATATTGTGTTAGTGGTGCCTACAACCTGCTAACCTCATTCTTTGACTCCATTCAATACACGAATGTAACATGTAGATATTTCAGGATGCATTCCGACGAAGTCATCCCAAACTCATATCTAATAGTTTTATCAAAGTTTACTGTTTCTATCAATAGTCCTCCAGCTCACGATGACACAAACCATCTGACAACACATTGACATCCCCTGACGCATTGCACTAGGTAATTTGGCTGAGTTTACAAAGAGAGACAAACAGACAATATACCTCATTATTATTATCATTAATATGATTCCGATCATGAACATTATTATTATTATATTATTATTGTCATTAGTAAAAATAATATAATGGTTAGTATTATTTAACATAAAAGTAAGTTACATAATATTAGAAAGTCGATCTTAAATTATGGAATAACACACACACACACACACACACACACACATTCACTTTTGTTCGATGAAGGTGATGATCTATGTAGAGAACAAGAAATATCAGTTTAATATGTTGAGTTCAATTGAACAAACATGAATAAAGCATAATCACCATCCACCTGTGGAATGTTCATGTGATTCGATTCGATTTTTCGTGGAGTACTTACTGCTCCACACCATCCCTCAGCTGTTCAGCTTCTCTAGTGCCAACAGTAGAGTAGAGTAATAATCCTTATCGAGCTTCCTTCCATCATATGATGTTAACACAGAAACATTCTGCGCCTGCAAGTTATCATCGTGTGGTCTGAGTAACTCGATCAAGCGCACATCACCTACTTCGGGATGAATTTCTCGATATGTCTGAAATATTTGATCTTGTAATCGAATGCGAAGCAACTCATCTAATGCTTCGTCATGAATAAACTGACATCTCTTCCCGAATCTACATTTCTGTAACGATGAAAAAGACGACACAATTGTGTTTTATACCGTGGATGATGTGGAGTGCATCTGAGTTCAATCGCCCCATGAGCGAAATGACATCCATCCCCATAACTACAACCTCTACCAGAAGTGTTAGAATAATGCCTACACAATTCCGTTTTGTAGTATCGACTGTTAGGACGAGTAGTGGCGCTATCAGCAAGAGATTTTGTCAAACAGCATTGTTGTTGAACATTGAAAGTTGACGATGAGGAGAAGCAAGTGTCTTCATTTGCACAGTGAGATTCATCACCTCGAGAATTATCCAATATATTCGCCTTGTTCTGATCATTCTCTGCAGCACTCAAACTGCTTTGCTGGTCTAATGTTGATGTTGACAGCTGTGTTGACACCAAACTTCCAAAGCTATCATCAATCGAACGTAATTCTGTGTATGCTTCGTCTCGTACACCTTGAGCAGTCTTTAACAACTCCTTTTGAAGATCATCTAAATCCTTCGAATTTGGTAGATAACAAACAGTCCTATTGTCTGTATGTTCGCGAATAATCTGAATGTCTTCCTCCAGTAGTTGTCTAATGAGATCATTAATGTTGCCAACATTTTGAGTCTTCATTGACAATGTTGTTATGAATTCACTGTGTTTGTCCATATTCCTAGTGTGTGTGAGAGAGCGAGAGAGTATTTTCACTCCACTTGTCTTTTCGATAAAATGAAATGGTTGTGCAGATATGTCTCCAATCGATTCTTGAATGATTGTTGAGTGGTAATCTGTGTCATCAGTCAATCCATCATTACCTCATCAAGATATAAACTATAAATGACCATGTGATGACTGTCACAGTGATTATTGCTCACCATTGAATCTGATATTTTCTAGTAGTAGTGATGATTGGATGAATCGTCATAATTAATCAATAAACTGAGAAGCATACAGGCCAGTCAGATGACGTGTTACTATCCCAATGAATCAATGAGTTTGCATGTCTAGGTGCAATTGAGGGGAATGCATAGGCAGACCTAGATTTCCTGTTTGTTGCTCTTCGTCAGAGGGCATATGTGTAGCAGGAAAATCTCCACTGACTGTAGTTGTTTGAAGTCACATTATTCAAATCTACAATCAGTCCATGGCTGAGAAGACGCCTCCTCGGATAGAGTTGTGCATAGTAAGTGGTCAGTGATGCGTAACCAAGGTAATATTCTACTCCACGATGCTGATTAGCAGCCTGTTTGACTATGTCGATGATGGAGATGGGTTCTCATCTCACCAGCAATTCAACATCTTTCGACAGTGATGAGTCCTGATAAACACCTTTTGCATCCGACACAAAGCATAGTGTCCGTCTAGTGAGCAGATCAGACTTCCTAGTCTGTTTGTTATATGTCATCAATATCATCGATAAATTTATCATGTTGTTTACCATGTGATAGGCAATCAATGTGTATGACATATGATACTTTTTCAACGGGAAATCCAATGAGTAAGTGAAACCGTGTGGTTGAACGAAGAGACTGTTTTCGGCGAGTTCATTCACTTCATACCTAGGTGTTCAACCACATTCATATACAACTTTTGCTGAGGATGTACAAATTGTTTCATGTGTGAAAGTAGTTCGTTAGTCATAACCACAATGTGATATATGTATAAAAGTGGAACTACTGTTTCATCTTACAATCATCGTGAAATATTTATGAATATTGGAAAGCAATCCAAATGGCATGTTGACAAGCAAAGTAAAATTGTCATAGGATTAATGAAGTGCAAGGTTGCTAATATTCGTAGGTATTGCTCATGATTTCATGGAAATTGAGTCACGGTGACTAGGTTAGAATGAGGAGTTGAGTAAGTAACATGACATAGTATTAATGAATGAATTGTTATAAAGGGGTCTGGATAGGTGTGGAAAGAAGGAGTGGTCGAAGATATGTAAGAAATGAAAGGAAGTAAACAGTCAAAGGAATGACGGTGGGAGATATTTAGAAACGCTAGAGATTAGGACCACGAAAGAAGTGCTGGTTGAACAAGTCATTTCGTATAGAAGGTTCCGGCTTTGCTTCCTGAATTACTAAAGCTTCAGCAAGGATTACAAAGGAGGCGATTAGTACTGACTTTGGCAAGTTTCTTTTCACTTTGTGAATAACTTTGAAAGAGGTGGTTGTTGAAATTGAATGACCAATGTTCCGTTAACATACTTCGTATAGATACACTACTGTCTCTCTGTAGACATGCAGGATATTTTTCTTGAACGCTTTTGGACATGACCAGACTCCACTTGAGCAGGTGAACTGAACACATAACGGTGGCAAGATGTGGGATTTTGTCTTTCAGGCGACTACAGAACACTACTCTGAATGTTGCTGCAAAGAAAGTTTACCCCAGGGAACTTAAAATGCTTCATTTTAGTATATCAACCAATGTCTATGTCACCTCTGAAATCAAAGTTTATTCATACATAGAATCATTTTCGTTGCGGAAAATGAATTTGACGGCTTTTATATAAATGCTATTGCACATTTGTACAGTGAATGAATTCGTCGAAACGTTTTTTCGCTAAACCACTTTTTTTCCTTTCCCGATATATCTTTATGGGGATTGTTTTCGAATCCAACAAGTAACAATTGCTGTCTGTTACTCACTCATCAGTAGGTACTCTAATCTTGTAATTCATGCGGTGATCTCGAAGGAACTGCATGGCTGACCAATACCACCTTTCTTGCTTGTAGAGTTAATAGTTGTGACAGGTGATTACACTCTTGCATTCCTACAGTAGTAGAATACAATGACTCTCTGTAGTTTAATCTGGTGGTGATGGGTATTGAGGTTGACAATTTTTAGTTTCAACCCACTCGGGATTCCCTTGTGATATGCACATACCTGCGTTTTAAGAAATGCTTGCCTTCTCATAAGCGAGTGAACTCAATATGCTTTACGTGAAGTAGCGAAGGCTAATCAGTCAGTTTGACTGTATTACAAAGCCATGCACCATCACTTGATATCGTGATGAAATTTAGGATCACATGTATACAGTGAGCAAGCCTGATCATAAAGAGAGAAAGAGAGAGAGAGAGAGAGAGAGAGAGAAATATCATTACGATTGATTGAGTGCATCGATAACGAGGTGATAATCACCAGGATGTCGTTTTACACTCGGATGAATAATGGTGTGTGAAACGCTGTATGCGGATATATTGTTCGTGTAAGAAATTACTAGACAAAGCATATTTATTGACAGCTTCAGCCAATTCATCTATATTCGTCTTGTAATTTGTACCTGATTTTCAAAATTGAGTGTATCACATAGCCACTGACTGACAAGTTGAAATCTGTACACAAAACTGGAACACCGAGTATCGCAAAGGTTGGTGAGCTTCTGTGTGTTTTCGTGGTTTGACTGTTCTTGGATGTTAGCTTCTCATGACTAGGAGTGATCTGGTCAATGTGAATGTCACACCCAGTGTGGCCTCCCTACGAGGACTACACATTGAAGTCGAAGCCGAAATTTCTATCACTCACTACTGGTGTCATTTCATTACTCTCAACTCTGCATGAAATCTACTCACTGTTTCACAACTGTGGTCATCAAGTTTTCTTTCATCTATCAATAGTACAAGGCTGAACAAGGGAACTGTCATTCTGCAGAATATCCATCCAGAAGGATTGGTTGTCGAAAAGAGTGTTGAGATGGTCGAAGAAGAAGCACAGGATGAATAGTAGTTACCGGCCTTTAGCAACTTCTCACTTGACTGAGATTCAGTTTTATGGTAGATCGCTTGGGAGCTGTGGCTCATTTGTTTGGAGAGTTGACTATCAGTCAGTGGATCACGGGTTGGAATCGCGCTCCACCTATTCAAGTTTGGGCTGCCAGGTAGTATCACTAGCACTCTCACAATAAGTGTGGCCCAATGCCTGCTGTACGAATGTGCACGATGTTACTGGTTTATAAACATAATAATACTATATCAGTTGGAATAACCTGTTGATTACTAAGGGCGTATATGCTGCTGTCTTGAAGCCAAAGTTTGACTGTAACAAACACACTCATGATACTTTTTCAACGGGAAATCCAATGAGTAAGTGAAACCATGTGGATGAACGAAGAGACTGTTTTCGGCGAGTTCATTCACTGTACAGCTAGTTGTAACCTCTCCTAGTTTACTAGCCGGTACTAGGCTCGAATGAAGAGGGAAGGTTGAGCATAGGGTTATCGATCCTACTCCGGAAAATCAATCCCATCGCTAACGTCGACCGAGAAGTAATTTGGCAGCTGCTTGCTTCAAGACTACGGTTTTAGTACCACAAACCTCCATCAACTTCACTAAACAGTTATATGCTATATGATGCTACATGCTACATACCAAGTGATTCACAATGGAATGCTACTCAGTGATGCCTAAGAAGTGAAGACAGGAGTAAGACTAGGCTGCCGTCTACTATCACCAATGATCTTCCTCATTATGGTCGACTGGACTGGATCATGCAACAGACTGTGATGAGCAACAAGATGGGGATACGCTGTTTGACCGATGAAAAGACGCCAGAAGAAGATTTGGAATTCGCCGATGATGATTTATGTCTGCCTAACGTGACACAAACTCGGAAATCTACAGGTGAGAACTAACAAGATGAAGGAAGAGGCAAGGCAGCGAAGACGGGACTTCCTTCAGGTGAACGTAGAGAAAACAGAGGTGGAGAAGATACCCAACCAACCAACAAACTAATCAGCAACAACAACAAGCAGCAATCACCATGAGCGGGAGAAATATGAAGGAAGTTGTCTCTTTCACCTCCCTCCCTCCCTCCCTCCCTCCCTCCCTCCCTACCTCTACCTACCTACCTACCTACCTACCTACCTACCTCCCTCCCTCCCTCCCTACCTACCTACCTACCTACTACCTACCTACCTACCTACCTACCTACCTACCTACCTACCTACCTACCTACCTACCTACCTACCTACCTACCTACCTACCTACCTACCTACCTACTTACCTCCACCTCCCTCCCTACCTACCTACCTGCCTACCTCCCTCCCTCCCTACCTACCTACCTACCTTCCTACCTACCTACCTACCTACCTACCTACCTACCTACCTACCTACCTACTTACCTACCTACCTACCTACCTACCTACCTGCCTGCCTGCCTACCTGCTACCTACCTGCTACCTACCTACTACCTACTACCCGCCTACCTACCTACCTACCTACTACCTACCGACGCACACCCCCGCACCCACCTACCTACCTAGGCAGCATCTTTGAAATACAGGCGGTGATGGCCGCGGCATATATGAGCACATCAAAGCCAGGATCGGGAAGACAACAAGACAGGCCTTCATTAATCTGAAACCAGTGTGGAGATCTACTGAACTGCACTGTACTGTACTGTACTCAGCATAAAGCGTGAACAACAACCGGATTTTCAACACTGATGTCAGTCAAGTGAGTCAGTGCTTCAATGTGATGGTTGAGAGACTTGGTGCGTTACGAAAAGCATTTCCAACAAACTGCAGACATGCATGACCAACAACTGCCGCCTACGCTCCCTCACTCGATACTGAATATCAGATGGATACAAAGAATAGGCAACAAGGAACCGTGGCTGGCTGGCTGGCTGGCTGGCTGGCTGGCTGGCTGGCTGGCTGGCTGGCT